GACACTGTGCTCTGAGAGGAGAGTCTTCAAAAGTGCCAGGGGGGCAGCTGCTCCCATTCCCCCCAAATCTACGGCCCTTATGACTGCAAATAACACAGGCAGGAGCCTGGGGTTTCCCAGAATTAGAGGTCTCAGCTTTGGGATGTGAGATGAACTTGGCCCTTGGTCCAGTTTCAAGCACTGTGTTGAGTCCTGAGCAACTGTACAATGAGAATTTCATATCCTGCAGAAAAAGCCTGCACCAGGTGAATTTACATACAGATCTCCTGAGTAAATAGTAGAGATTTGTGCACACCTCTGTGCGTGCACACGCGTTGTTATCCTGTAGCGAATAAGAAACAAAAAGAAAAGAAAAACCAGTCTTTTTAATTTTTCCAACAAAAATTATTGGTTTATATCTTCCCTCATGGGAATATGATTTTCAGTCCTAATTCTGGATTTCATTGGTGGAAAAATGAATCACAGGTTGTTGTGAGAAAAGTTGGGAATATGCATCGATATACAGGCACATGTAGGTACATGCTTGTGCACATGTGCACACACACACACATGCACACGCATATTGATTGGCTCTCCCGACATTATAAGGGTCCAATCTGTGGGGAGAATCTGGCATGAACACAATCCAGAAGTTTGCTAAAAGCTGGGGCCTCCCTGTCCGATGGTGTAGCGCACGTTAGGAGTCCTGGAGGCAGATGGGGCCCAGGTATGTGCTCCTGCTGCACGGTCATCGGGTGTTTCTGAGAGTGCAGGAGTCCACACACCCACGTGTGTATGTGTGCGTGCTAGGCACAGTGAAGTGCTTCCCCGCGGCTCAGTTTCCATAAAAAATGGCTGCTTCCCAGGAAGAAGAAACAGCATTCAGATGCCATTGTAAATCATCAAGGTTGTCGGGGTGTCGAGTGGGATGTTGGGATCGAGAGAGTGGTCTAAGCTTCTTGAATCGTATTTGTGGTTTTTTTTTTTTAAATGTTTTATTTATTTCTAGGAGAGAGAGAGAGACAGCGTGAGCAGGGGAGGGTCAGAGAGAGAGGGAGTCACAGACTGAAACAGGCTCCAGGCTCTGAGCTGGCAGTCAGCACAGAGCCCGACGCGGGGCTCGAACCCACGAACCGCGAGATCATGACCTAAGTGAAAGTCGGACGCTTAACCGACTAAGCCACCCAGGCGCCCCGTGATGTTTTATTTTTTAACATGGAGGAGGTCTTACTTCAAATGCTATTTTAAGAGAAAAAATACAGGTGGGGCACCTGGGCGGCTTAGTCGGTTAAGCATCCGACTCTTGACTTCGGCTCAGGTCAGGATGTCACGGTTCGTGGGTTGGAGCCCTGTGTCAGGCTACCGCTGACAGTGCAGAACCTGCTTGGGATTCCCTTTTCTTCCTCTCCTCTAACCCGTCCCCCCTCAAAAGAAATAAACTTTAAAAAGATCTTTTAAAAAATACAGGTGGGATAAGACTGTGACTACCTCCCAGGCATTGTCCGTACAAAAAATAAATAACGGTCTCTATGCACAAAGCATGTGCATCACACATGGGCTTCCTCCGGGCTGCTTCGCCTATGTCGGCCCGCACTCAGGTGGAGGAGGGAGCAGGTGTCAAGTATTCGCATCCACTGGCCAAGTGTTTAACAAACCCTTCCGCTTCTGTCATGATTTTCATTTTCTTTACACTTCACGTAAAATGTATATGCTTATCATCATTTTGGAGAAGAGCCTCATTTAACTACTGGTTTTGTTATCTGTACTTACATCTTCATATTTGGCTAGGGCAGGGGCTCCATTATAAATCAGCATTTTAGGAGATAATTATCACCCTCCTCACCATGTGGCAGGATCGAACTAGTTCATTAATCTTTAATATAGCCTTCCAGAGTTTGTAAGGAGAGAAAGAGAGTCCCAGACCCAACATCACCACTACGACCACAGCCACCATCATGGTCAATGACAGAGCAGAATTTCTAGAAGAGGGAACAAGCTTCAGGGTCAGATTTTCATGCGGAGTCTGGTTCCAGTAGTTGTGGGACATGACTTTGGGGGAATCATATGACCTGTCAGTCTTTATCCTCTTCATTTATAAAATACTATCTTCCAGGAATTGACAGAGGGCAGTGGAAGATGGACCTGCACAGTCCTATACATGAGGTGTTTACAGAATATTCTTGAAATGGTGTGATTTGTCTATGAAGATAGTCTGAATCATGGGAAGAGGATTGGAGAACAAGAGTCAGCCGTTGGCACGTACAGGTAAGATTTCCCATTTCTAAAGTTGAAAGCTCAGAGTTCTCAGTGGGCCGTAAGAGACACCTTTCAGTCAGGGTGTCCCTTCTGGAATGTCAAACTTGCCACTTGCTTGATGTGTGACCTTACACTGTAAGAGCGTACAGTGCTGTCACATAGATTGTCTTACTTATTCTGCATAACAGTAGTAAGAGGTAGGTGTTATCACGATCCTCAAGTATGGAAGGGGGAGTATGGAAGTTATATGTATTACTAACTTGGTATGGATAGTGAGAGAATTCAATGGGATACGATTAAGATATTATTAAGCTACCCAAGTGGGGTAGATGATTCAACCCTAATGGCAACATTAAATAGTTGAATGAAATAAGGCACACATGGGTGTGAGCGGGATTTTTGGCTCATAGTAAGCACTCAGGAAATGGAAACTCTAGCCCCTGAGCCCGACGGCCAGCCAGTATATATGAGCCAGCACCCGGGTCTGCCAGGGCCATAGGGCCTCCTGCTCAGCAGCGTAGCACCCCCACCCCTCCACGCACCCCACCACCCTGGGTGGTTCTAAGTGGCGAGGCCGTGCATGCAGAATTTACCGTCCGCGGGAACACACACAAGCAAAAAGACTCAGAACACCAACTCGCGTGTACCGTTTCAGACTAAGCTTTTATTTTTGATATTACAAACCAGTTTTTCTTTATTCACAAACCACTGTAAGTGATATAAACACTAATTTCTAAAGACAGATATACACATTTTCTGGGTTTGCAGACTGCGTGATGTGTGTGTTAAGAAGTCACTATATGCCACACATGATATTAATCTTTTTTTCCATAATTCATAATAGCAATAGTTATTTAGATAAATGAAAACATTCCAAATAAATACTGTTTAAAAAAATCCAAAATGTCTGTTTACATCTCTGACATACATTTTAAAATGACTTATTGGCATCTTGGCAGAGTGCCTGGGCAGAAGGCTCTGTAACATCGTTTGGCACTCACTGCTCTAAATGATTTTATTAAAACTACATACAGTCATGGGGGAAAGTACAGCTCATTGATGGAAATCAAAACTGCAAAATAATTTTACTTGAACCAACACAGTTAAGAATTCTATGTTTGTGATTCCAAATACAATGCAAATTCTGGATTTTGACATCTGAGGCAATGGGGAGAAGCTCTGCATTCTCCCAAGGCCCCCCCCCCCCCCACCTCCTTCCACCTTTCTCCCCTTGGGGCAGGACGCCGTAGCATTGTGATAAATCGTTTCCTTGCACAACAGCCACCAGGCACCCACTGTCCTAGCACCGCTCTCCGGGGGAGGGAAGAAGAAATGTCCCCTCCCTCGCCCACCCGACTCAGGCTGCTAATGCTTCTGGCTGCTAAGCGGTTCCCCCCCTTCTCTCTTTGCAAGATAACGAGACTCTGTCTTAGATATCGAAGCTACAGAAACTTTGTTTTCAAATCTTGTGAAACTTTATTGATGGTTTAATACCCAACCAATCTTACTGCATGCACGTAGGATGACGAGAGAAAGCTGGATCACAAACACTTTTTTTTTTTACTTTTTTCTTTTTTCTTTTCTTTTTTTTTTTTTTTTTTTTTTTTTTTAAGGTTTTGTTTGGTTTTGTCTGAAAGCGGAGTTGTTATAGCGGGCTGGCAGGTTCACAGGGGTGAGTTCATAACTTACTGAAGTGCACGCCTGTACGGGGCCGGCACTGTACACGTGAAGGTGAACTATGGCAGCAAACTACGGAGGCAGCCTGCTGCTGGTTTTATTATTTAAATACAAAAAACAGGAAGACCCGTGACAGATACCCCAACTTAGGTTAACTTTTGTAAACAGGACAACATGGAAAGAGTTCAAACAGAAGTACAGACAAACTGCAATTTTTCGGCTGTGTCACTCTGGCCCTGCTTCAGAGGTGGGGGGCTTTGTTCTTCGGGGATGAAGAGGGTGGCCGTACTTTTTTGTTTTTCGTTTTTGCTTCCTTCTGACAAGGGTCCTGGGCCTCGGAGACGGAACTAAAGAGACTGGGTGGAGATACTCTTTGGGGCCCAGGCAGAGGAGGAGGAGGGCAGGGTCTCACAGACTGAAAAATTGCAGGTTGCTCACACGACACGGTCATGTTTCAAAAAGTACCAAGCTGATGAAAATACCATGATTATCTCTACTCAATGATTGCAATACTTGTAAAATGCTTCTATAAATCCGAATATGATTATCATGTAATTCCATAAAAATTATACATCTGTCTCTAACAGTTGTTTACTAGGCTAAAACTAAAGCGTCATAGACTGTTTCTAGAACTTAACAACTCCACTGCACAGATGTAAATTTTATACATTTTTTTTTTAACTGGTACAAAGGATTTAAGTTTTTATTACTTTCTTTTTTTGGAAAAAAAGAAAAAAATAGAAACAGTGCTTTTTATCACCTTTTTATTAATGTTATTTTTTTCCCTCCCATAATATAAAAGTCAGCAATGATATCAATAATTTATTATACTGGAAGAAATATAAAAAGAATGCTCGTTGATGTCCTAACTAGCAGTTTTTGCCTAAGTAACTAGCGGCTGGTTAAGAAGCTGAAAACTGCCGGGTGGAATGGTTTAAAGGGTGGGTTTGTACAGCTTCATTCAACTTGGATGCAAAAAGTACTTTTAGAAGCACCCCCTTAACAACAGAACCTTTGGCTTGAACTCAATGAGCAACTTAGAACCGCTGATATATGATCGTTGGTGCAGTGGGTCGTTTAGATTCATCGGTTAACTATTTTTTTTTTTTCCGTTTAGCCCGATCCCCAGTCCCGATCCCCTAAGATCCTCCCACCCTTCCCCGTTCATAAAAGAAAATAATGCAGATGCAGGAAAAAAAAAATGACTACTGTAGCCACTTACACTCTTCCCAAACAGCTGATAACCCCAGTAGCTTGATATTCAGCATATATAATTCATTTACATGAGATAGCACTCTGGATATGGCCCTAAACCAGGTTTTATTCATAGCTAGCATCTCTCTATTCCAACCACAGAAAAACTCCTACAGCCAGCAACCAAACTACGGAACCTTCAGAAATTAAAGACCCACAATATTAAAATACACAGAACAAAATATCTGAGGTATAAGATAAAAAATGTAATTTTTTCCCAGTTTTTTTTTTTTTTTTTAATCTTTAGGGCTGCTAAAATGATGCACTACTGCATGTATTGCAATACCCAGGCCTCGGAAAGCTTCCTTTCTCCCCACACTGGAAGGTTTTAATGGTTTTGTCATTTAGTATGGAGCAAAGCGGTTGTATCCCCCTCGGTATATACTAGCCTGCAATGAAGAAAGAACGAGACCCACATCATCAGCATGGCTCCTAGTCTTGGCATCAGTCAGGGGTGCAAAAGCATTCTGAAACAAAGCAATTTGAGGGGTGTGTTTTTTACATTTTCCTTTTGCAACACGTGCATCATCAAAAAAGACTAATGTGAAAAATAGACACTCAAAAACAACCAAAATGGAGGCACCCTCTACCCATCCCAGGTCATTCCTGGCCAATCCTGACCTCCCCCAACAGCTCCTTGTAAAGAAAGTCCCTACAACACCAAATGCTGTCGGCCAGCCCCGCGAGCAAAAAGGACTCTGCCACAGGCTGGGCAATGCAAGGATTTGCCCCGTCTTGCTCTGTTTGCTTGTTCGATTCATTACTATGACATTCCGTAGGGAAAAGCTCAGTCTACACTCAAGAGGCTGAATATAGACGGCTGATTGGATACAGTAATTCAACTCTCCATTCCAACACATTCCTCAAGCGGGCTGGGTGTGGAGGCAGAGTTGCTGAATGCAAAATCAGGATGAAAATTTAAATCAGCTGCTTACTTGACTTGGCTCAACAACCTGGATGGAATTTGCTCTTGAGAGGGGAGTTTACAGATGAATTGCTTGATGTAATTGAGCTTGTACAAAATAATATGTTTCCAAATCATGGCTGAATTTCTATGACCAAGCTCCAGTGGCTTGCCTGGCCATGGCTTTAGATGGCTATGAGGTGGCACTTAGCTATTTTCTTTTTCTAAAAGTATTGGCGATTCAAATGAATGCCTATGGGGATTTATTTTTAGGATAAGGACTGATATTCTTGATCCCAAGCAGAAAACTGCATGCCAAAAGCTTTGTAATGATTGCATACGCTCTCACGTGATGGGCACGTCTTACTGTACTCAAGAGTTTTAGTGCATAGAAGTTTGAACAAGTACAGGCAAATTCACCCCACCCTAACCTCCCATTTTTGCCCTCCCCCCCACCCCTCCCAAAACAAAAACCCAGATCCCCCCCCCCAAAACAAAAGACAACTCCCAAACCCAGCTGATTCCTTCTAATTCCTTATGTACTAGGCACACACACAAAGTGTGCCCCTCTCTCTATTTTCTTTCCTGGGCGACTATGACTTTAAACATGAATTGTAATAGGGGAGGAGAGGCAGTCAGATTCTCAGCTGCCTGACAGCAGAGGTCTGGAAGTGTGCAGCTTAGCTCCTCTGAAGTCTGTGCTGGGGCTGGAACCTTGGGGCTATGTGAATGAGCAGCAAGGGAGGGAAAAAAAAAGAAAAAAAAAAGTTCTGCATTGACACTGCATTCTGTTAGTGATGGATTTAATTATCAAAATGACTAATTATTCCATTAAGGTAAGTGCTCTGCTAGGTGAGACTTGCAAAATTAGAAATATAATAACTTACATGCACTACATTGCCAAGAAATTAAGACATTTATCAAGTTTACCAGGAGGATTAATGTGGCATTTTAGCTGCTGTTAGCACAAGAGACAAATTCAATTAAGGGGAAGTGAGAGTACGGCAACCGTCAACCCGTACTAAGGTCCCAGCTGGGGGAAGGGAAGGGAGGCAGGAAGAAGTGAGGAAGAGGAGGGATTGGTACTCACCATGGCACCAACGCTGTAGGTGGGGGCTGGAGCAAGTGTGTGGTGGTAGGGGTCGGCAGCATAAACTCGTCCGTAACTGAAAGGAAAACACAGGTGAAGATTAATCCATAATATGCACTTACAGAGTCACGATAACAACCATAAAATACAAAAATACCAAGATAGTGTGGAGGGGCCCTAATCATCCTCAGAGGTAAGCAACACAGTCCCATCTGCCACATGGCACGAGAGAAGTCTGTCTGTGCCCAACACATTCTTCTGTCCATTTAACCTCATGTGGGATAATAGACACTTTCCTCTCGCAGGCAGAAGAAACAACTTGAAAGAGTGGTTTTAAGAAGCCCAGCACCCACAGAGGACACGTAATTCTCGAGAGAGACAGTCTTCTCTCCTAACACAGCTGCTCCCAATCAGGTGAGACAACGTGGATCACAAAGGGTAACGTGGCCTGGTCTGTGCAGTTAGGGTCCAATGTCTCAGAAGAGGAAATAACAGATGTACCGAATAGGAAGATCCTTGAAGGGTGTGTGGGACCTTTCCCCCCCAATTCAAGAATTACTCTGATTTGATTTTGATACTATAACCCCAGAACTTCTACCTCATCAGTCTATGGTCAGGTTCTGAGAAGGGACACATTTCAAACAATATTTCTCGATGATGAGATCTCATCTTTGAGTTTTTCTATACCTTTCTCCCACCCTTCTTCCTCTACTTCCATGCCTTCTAGTATAGGCTTTGGAATAAAAATGAAGAGAAGGATGCCTACTGAGTGTCTGGAACTGAACACAGCAACAAGTCAGAAATTAAGGTTCGGAGAGTGTAGGTTACTGGCTCAGAGTCACAGAGCCAAACAGAGTCAGAGCTGATCCGTTAATCTCTTATGGCAACTCGCATGCTCTTTCCATGGTGTCAAGAACCCTTACTTGAATGACCTGCTAGCTATCTTCTTTGAGACAGTGTGAACATTGGCCTTTCGCTAATGATGAAAGTGGAGGTGCAGGTTGAGCTGGGTTAGGGTCCCTGGAAGCAGAGTCGGAGACGGAGATGTTGTGCACGTGCTCTGTGGAGGCGAGCTTTCAAGAGGAGGACAGAGAGGTGAGCAGGCTGGAGCATAAGGGAAAAAGAGAAGCAAGGATGTGGTCTAAGCTGGAGACGAGCTTCCACCTGGTCATGCGAGCTGCACCCCAGGCTGGATTCCACGTGGAGGTGAGTGTGTTGGTTTTGTAAGTTAAGCACCAGCTGTGGGCGTCCTTAGGAAGAGGAGGAAAACTGCAGAGCTAAAATGACTCTTTGGCAATGGGTAGTTCTCTGAAGGAGGGAGCAGCCATGTACCACTAGCAACCAACACTCCCCGCAGCTGTAGGAGGCACGTACCAGCCACTAAACGGGATCTACGTCACTTATCAACAGCTTGTGACTCTTGGCCTTTCCTTTAGGCAATGAAGGAACAAGGCAGGAATAAATAAACATCTGGATTATCAACCTTAAGCTCACCTCTCATCTCTTCAAGTCTCATTTGCATTTGTTGTTATTCCCTTCTGGAACAACTCCTCTCATCTCTGGCTCTCAGGCTGAGATTTAAATCATCATGTCTTGGTTCTCAAACCCAGATTCAGACTGAATTATACCACTAGCTTTCCTAGATGTTCAACTTACAGATGGGAGATCATGTGACTTCTCAATCTTCATAACTGCATGGGCCAGTTCCTCATAGGCTACTTCAAGGAACAAACCAAAAGCACACCTGGTGGAGGCCCGAAAACATAACTACGAGTAGGGAAATAAAATAACCAAAGTCACAACAATAGAGAGCACATAACATTCTCCAAAACACACCTCCTGAATGACCGGGCCACGGACAGCGTATGACCCCTTTAATATAGCAGTGCTTGCAGGTGCAGAGCATATAACAAGCTTTTAAGACTCCTAAGGGACAGAAAACTAGCCAAAATGATGAAACAGAAGAATTCTCCTCAAAAGAAATTCCAGGAAGAAGTGACAGCTTAAGAATTGATCCAAACAGATATAAGCAACAGAATAAGAATTTAAAATAATAGTCATAAAATTAATCTCTTGGTTTGAAAAAAGTGTAGAAGGCAGAAGAGACTCCAGTGCTGCAGAGATCAAGGATCTTAAAAAATAGGATGAATTAAAAAATGCTATGAATGAGGTGCAAAATAAAATGGAGGTGGCCACAGCACAGAAGGAAGAAGCAGAGGGGAGAATAGGCGAATTAGAAGCTAAAACTATAGAAAAAGATTTTAAAAATCCAGGATCACAAGGGGGAGAATTCGAGAACTAAGTGATTCAGTCAAATGGAACAACATCCCTATCATAGGAATTCCAGAGGAAGAAAGGAGCTGAAGGTGAACTTGAACAAATTATTGTTACTCCTTTCCTTTCCAATCTCTTCCCCATTTTCCTTCCAATCATCTTTCTCACAGCTGGTGGATAAGAATGTACTGGATGGGCCCCACTTGTTTGCTCACATGGTGGAGCCTGGGTCAGTGGGGAGAAGCTTGGGTGAAGGACCTTTAACGCTTAGGGTCTGAGTTAGACCCCAAATGGAAAAAAAATTGATTATACCAAGTTCTCATCGGAAATGTCTTACTCCTAAACACTCCTTGCCTGTGTCAAAGGGCAGTGAGCTCAGATGAGGCTTTTTGCTTCAACACAGTGGTCTCCTAATCCTCCAAAGTGGTGACATGAATGGATGTTTCTTTTCTGAGGTAATTCTCTCAGGGAAACTGACAGTCAACCTCCTCTCTGCTTTTCACTCTTTGGAATACCCTTGATTGATTCAGCTCAATCACATGACCTTTGGTCAGCAATGCTCCGTCTCTCTGGGAGGAAGTACCGATATAAGTCCGAGATGCAAGGTGTGTTAAAACCAGAAGCATGACTTTTTTGAAGAAATCAGATATTCCTGGAGGTCCCTCATGACAGGTGGGCCTCTGCCCACATAAGCAGAAGTAGATGTGAACAGGCGTAAAAGGACACAATATACGACTGGCGCGGATTTTCATTTTGTGAGAAGATAGTCTGTCACTGGTCTAGAGAAAAAAGAAACTGCTAATGGGATTGTTTTAATGCACTTTCACCCAGGAAAGCTGGTTGTATGAACAGGATATAAAATGCAAAGATAAACTGAAAATCCTTGAGAATTTAGTGATGCCAAAGCATCACTTCGGTGGTATTTCTTCAAAATGAGTGTGAAAATGCCCATTTAGAGAAATTATTTTTTTTCTTCGATTTGGGGAATAGTTTTACTGTAGCAAAAATTTCCTCTTTTGGGGAGATAACATATAGGTAGTCTGAATGTATTCAACGAGAAGAATGCTTCCACCCCTGCCCTCTACATACTTCAACGATAAGTTTTTTTTGCCTATAACACCGGGCAGAGCTTCAACCTTTGTGGAAAACCCAAGGTAACAATTTGGCAGTATTCTCTTCCAAGGCAGAAGAAAAATACAGCAGCACTGAACTATTCCTCGTAAATGAGCAGGCTCCTTTTCTCCTCAGGGTGACCTCTACCTTCAGAATCCGATGGTTTTATTATGATTAATAAATTTCATTTCCACAGAGGAAAAGGGACCATGTCAGCTCAAACTGAAAGCAAGGAGGCTTCTTTTCAAATGCTAATTTCTAAACACACCCTTGTGTGACACTACAATTTAGACACAAGGTTATTAGGGAAGATGTGGACTTGAGCTACTACTCTTGCGGCAGAAATGCCAGGCACATCAGCGACCTAACGTCCTCAGAGCTGGCTAAGCACAGCCCAAAGGAAAAATGGCAATTCCCAGGGACCGCAGTGGGAGTGATGGGAAAATGTCTTATGACCGCCATGTTATGACAGACCTGCACAAATCATTGCCCTCTATGACACCCATCCCTGGCCAAAGTAGACAATGGTGCTATCAGGTCATAATGCTCTCCATCTCTCCACATTCTGTCCATCAGAAATTACAGATGAAATCTTCCACTTTGGACACATTCCACAAATGTGTCCACTTTGCTCCCTTCACACTACCACCCTAACCTAACCCACAACAGCCTTGTGGATCCAGAAGATCCACAGCAATCTTGTCTCTTTGGCTCTACTATTGCCTCTTCAAACCACAAGCCACTTATATCTATAGCTAACAACTCTATCTTCTGTCTATCGTATTCTATCCATCCATCATCTGTCTAGTTAAATATAAATCTAAACATATCACTTCACTACTTAGAACCCTTCAATGGTTTTCCATTGATCCCAGAATAAAACCCAAACTTGCATGAATTACCTCTGCTCCTCTTTAAATCCTATCTATCTTATTTTAATCTCATCTTATCCGATCCACCCCTTGCTCACTGTGCTCCAGGCACATTGGCCTCATCACTACTCCATGAACACATGCAAATGCATTCTCTTCTTACAGCCTTTGCACTTGCCCACCTTTCATGTAACATCGCAAGTCTCCAAATTTTGTTTCCTTATCTCTCTGATTATTTGCCTTCCCCACCCCCCAGGAACGTCAGCCCCATGGAAGTTACGTCAGGTCTATTTTCTCTGCCTTTTTATCTTCAGCATCTGCCAAAGAACTGGCCCATGGTGCAGTTGAACAAGGGCCAAGCCGATGCCACTGCATGAGTGAAGGCAGCAAGAGGGAGGTGTAAACAGGAGAGAAGTAAGTCTTGGAAGACACTTGCACCCATCATTAGGATTGTGTCAGCAGCAAAGAATCCCTCCAGATAGGCTTTCTGAAGATTCTAGGCCAGCTGATCCCAGAGACATTCAAAACCTTCAAGACACTCAGAAGAAAAGTTTCTGGGGACTCTGAAGATACCCAGTGTGTAATTTCACATCACCGCTGAGAGTTCACAGAACACTAAATGCCAAGTTGCCATTTAGGAAAAATCCAACCAAACAATGAAATAAGACTTCACCACAGCTTGTAGCCATGCCATCATGAACCCACATTTTTTTGATCTTTGCAACAAGTGAAAAGCAGGAAGTCGTCAATGGTGCTGGGGAGAGCAAAAAGGCATGAGGCAAGAAGATCCAAGGTCAAGTTCTGCCTCTGCAATGTC